AGAAGAAGAAGAAGAAGAAGAAGAAGAAGAAGAAGAAGAAGAAGAAGAAGAAGAAGAAGAAGAAGAAGAAGAAGAAGAAGAAGGGGAGGGGAGAGGAGGGGAGGGAGAAGGAAGGAAGGAAGAAAATGTAGTGTGTGGGTAAAGGCACTTGCCACCAAGCCTGACGAGCTGAGTTCTATCCCCACGACCTCATGGCTGAGGAAAAGAGTCACTCCTGCAGTTTGTCCTCTTACCTCCATACACGTACTACATAAATAAAAATGTTTTAATTAAAAAAGCAAATTGTTTAGATTTTTAATTTGGTAGTGATTTTGGATTAAGGATGTGCATTTTCATTTCTTTACCTTTCCCTCCAGTGCTAGGGATTGAACCCTAATGCCAAGCTACAGCTGCACATATTACACAAACATCCTACCAGTAAACTATGTCTCCTACACAACTATTCTTAAATGGGCGTGAGAGTTCTTTGAGCTCAGTCTGCAGAGCTGTACAGTTACAGAAAGTTTCACCCACTGACAGTTGTAAAAACAGTTCTGATGGCTGCCTTAGATGGCTATAAAGCATCCCCGTGCGAAGTCCTACAATCTATAGCACAGCTGCTTAGACAGTGGGGCAGTCTCCGAGGTTCATGTGAGACATCTCCACAATTTATTAAGACACATTTCTAGAAAGATAAGGTTTTGCTTTCTGTCAAAATTTAGGATTCACCCTTAGACAGTCAGTAAAGCTGTTTCCAGACAGATAGGATCATATCCTTCCTAAGGGGTCTTAGATTTAGATGAGACCAAAATTTAATTGAATTATAGTCACTTGTGCTTTTACTGCTGCATAAGCCAAGAGTTTTGGATGCCAGACTCAGCTGTGCTACAGAGGCTGCCCGTAGTCACAGAACCAGATACCTTCCAAAACAGTGAACTCAGCATCCAAGTATGGTTACTTACCATTCTCTATCCAGTCAGTACCCTTCATCTTGAGCTCACTGGGATCCACATACTTTGATAAGATCCCTAAACACAAGATGGTAAATCTTATTTTTATTATTTAATAATCTAAGCAGATAGCAGAATTAGCTTTTTGTTAATAAGGCATATTCAAAACAAATAAATTCCAGCCAGGCATTCTGGCTCACACCTGTAATCCCAGCACTTGGGAAGCTCAGGTATGAGAACTGCCATGAGTTCCAAGGGAGCCTTGAGTACACAATGGAACTATCTCAAAAACTAAGCAAAGCCGGGTGGTAGTGGTGCACACCTTTAATCCCAGCACTCTGGAGGCAGAGGCAGATGGATCTCTGAGTTCAGTGTTAGCCTGGTCTATCTACATATGGGTTTCAGACCAGCCAGAGCTACACAGTGAAAACCTGTTTCAATAAATAAATAAAAAGGAACAAGAGCCAGCAAGATGGCTTAAAGGGCTAATATGCTTGCTCATGAACCTGAAAACCTGAGTTCAATTCCCAGAACCACGCAGTGGACGGAGAGCTGACTCCCACAAGCTCTCTGACCTCCACATATCTACCACGTCACCTGCATGCACACATACACACACAGAGAGAATAAATAGTTTTAAATATTAAAATAAATTCTAGAGTGCCTTCTAGTTATTTGTCAATAACATGGATCTTTCTTCCTTGAAAATAATTTCAAGGTCATCTACACACAGATCATGCCTGATACTATAAGTCTGGTTTGAAGTTTGTGGCTGGGGAGGTCAGGCCCTAGCAGAGAAGATAACAGTTTTGCTTTGCTAGATGGATTATTGTGACCATCAAATTGTCTGATAAATACTTAGGTGTGCTTATACTTATAGATTTGGTCGGAGGTTTTTTAGTAAGGCATCAATTATTGAAGCAACTCAGGATCAGAGTGCAGAGAATAAGAGACTATGGGGTGCCAGCCCTGAGACATCTGTCTCCCAGCCCTGGGCTCAGGTAACACTGTAGAAAAGGAGGCTGAAGGGATGTATGAGTGGAAGGAACAGGTGTGTTGTAGAATATCTTCTAGACATTACACTCACGAGCTCATAGCAGCTGTCATGGCCTGCACAGGACTGGACCCAGTGACGTTCTGTCACCAAGGACTTAGCAGTCCCCACATACCCTTGAGGATTTCTAGGCAGTTACAAAGATTCCTGGGGAAAGGGGTTTGTATACCTCCCTGAGGACCTACGGGCAGGTAATGGTTGCTGGAAGGGGCAACGTGAAGGAAGAAACATTTTCCTCAGGGGTAGTCACTTGTAAGTTACCCAGGCTCCTGTAAATAGCCCTTTACCCATGCTCCTATGGTAACCCTAAGTAAATTCATTGAGTCACAAAAATACAAGACATGAAAGTAGGAGAGAGACTATTTGGGAAGAAGGGGATCAATGGGAATGGGTGAGGGATAAGGGGGTTATGGGGTGAACATGATTGCAATACATTCTATTTAAAGAAAAGACCGGACACTGGACACAACATAGGAAGGGATAAGGTAGCTATACAAATGAAAGGGTTTTCTTTTACCTATAAACAAGACAGCTGTTCTTCTGATGGGAAGTTTTGGATCCCTGGAATACATTAGGGTTTGGTCTAGGATGTTTATTTTCCCCTTGCTTTTTTCTCCCTAAGTTGATGGGAAGGGTATATAACAAAGTAGCAGGTGAGTACGGCAGTTCCTGGATTGCTACAGTGAAAGTCACAGCAACTGCTTTGCCATGATAGAAGCCCCAGTAGTTAACTCCTCAGTATACCCACTGCGCACACCTGCCCACGACACCTTTAAAGTCATCCTGGCTTCTCTGCACCTCTGTCTTCTCCCCTCTAAATGCCACCTTGAGCTTTAACTTCCCTACCGGCTCTTCCTGCCTAATCAACCCAGCTCTAAGTACTCTTAGAAGTTCAATATGGGATCCAGGTGGTTCTATTACAATCAGTTTCTAAAAAACTGTGCATGGCCCTTCTAAAGCTACCCTGGATCATACAGGCTCTGCTGGGTTTGTAAAAAGAAGATGGCATCTGGGTCTCAGGGCTAGTGACATGCTGCCCTCTTCTTATTTTATGTTTTTTTTTTAAACTATTTTTTTTTCATTTTACATACCAATCCCAGTTCCCACTTCCTCCCCTCCTCCCATTCCCTCTAGCTTTCCCCCTCCTATTCCCCATCCACTCCTCAGAGAGGGTAAGGCACATTGCTTTGGCGAAGGTCCAAGGCCCTCACTACTACATCTACGCTGAGCAAGGTGCTGCCTCTTCTTATAAGGCCACATACTACAGCAGTCTGTACTTAGGGACTAATGCTCTAATGCAAAATAAGACAATCCACTATATCAAGCAAAGGGCTAGAGACATGAAGACAATGCATAATTATTTCAATTCATCTCATGTGGACATTTGTTGTTGTTACTTCAACAAAGTCTCATTATATAGCTCTGGCTACCCTGGAACAGCTTGGCTTGAACTTACAGAAATCCATCTGCCTCCACATTCTGAGTGCCGGGATTAAGGTGTGCACCACCAAGCCTAGCCCAAGTAAAAATTGTTTACTATATACTATCAGTCTGACCTTATAGCTTCTGATGCAATTAGTGGGGCTCTCTAGTTTATCGGTCACTTTGTTATTACTATTATGAAACAAGGTCTTCCTCTATAGCTCAGCTTGCTCTCAAACTCACTCAGACAGCCTCTTGAGTGCACTATTACAGGTATGTGCCTCCACACCTTGCACCACCAGCTTTTTGCACATGTGAAGAAATGTGTTAGTACTAAATTTGTTGGCTGGTGAAATGGCCCAGTGGGTAAAGTACTTGTTGTGCAAGCCTGAGGACTCAAGTTTGATCCCTGGAACCCAAATAACAAAAGCCAGGTGTGTAATTGCAGCATTCCTCCAGTGAGATGGGAGACGGAGAGGGAGACTCACAGCAGCAGCAATGAAAGCCCCGCCCTCACAGGTGGAAGGAAGTTGTCCACTGACCTCCACTTGCACACTGTGGCACACTCAATTTGTGTGCACATACACATAAAAACGTGTGTTTGGGACTAATCAGAACTATAGAAAAGAGATCTACCTCTTGAACATGGAGCGTAACTACTGCTGTGAAGGGATAGCGTGGGAAATGTTTCCCGCATGTCATGTGTCTCACTAAAAGCTAGCAGAGGAAACAGAGTCACTACTTCTCACATACAAAGAATTTGCAGACCCTTCTAACTTCATTCGGTTTGATGTATAAGGGATCTTTGCAGTACACTTCCCGGGGCAGCTTCCATTTCAGGAACTGGGCACACAGAGTCAGGACTCGTCTACTCTCCTGTTGGGGGAAGAGTATAACAGGTCAGCATTTTCAGACAGTTTTTAACTGAGGTAAACTTTCTTTAGGAAAACTGACACCAAAGTCTAATGTGAAAAGCCAGTAATTTTAGAATTACTCTGAGTGAGGTGAGGAAAGGGAATGAACCGGTGGTATTTTGCCTTCCTTCTGAAGACCCTAAAGGACTCATAAGCTTGCAAGGTGCCAACAAGGATGTGGAAACCACTGGTCTCTCTGTAGAGTGAGAACTAGCGGATGTGGTACACAGGTAAGATACACATTACGTAGCCCAGGCTCTAGACAGGATCCCATTGCACAAGTGGGATTCTTCTCTAGCTGTCATGCTCGGTCCACTAGATATTTGGGCCATAAATATCCTCTTAAGATGGTGTGTGTCTTTAATCACAACACTTAGGAGATAGGGCAAGTGGGCAGATCTCTGAGTTAGAGGCCAGCCTGGTGTACATAGCCAGTTCCAGGCCATCTAGGATTACACATGATACTTTGTCTCCAAACAAAAGCAACAACAAAAACTAAACCCTTTGAGGATTGATAAGAATTAGTTCAGCTTCTTTGTGTAGCAATTTGTAGATATGCAGTATCTAACCCAAATACCCATGCTAGGGTTTTATGCCCTTCAGAAATTCTCACATGCACACACTAAAGTGCTGGTTGCAGAATTATAACCATGAAAACCAAACACTAAGTGTCTGGAATAGGAGAATCAGTAAATTTTAGATTAAATGATGTAATTCCACATAACACTGAAAAGAAATCATCTACATTCTTATAATAAAATATCATAAATACAATGCTAAGCAAATATATTGAGAGGTTTATGGAAATACACAACATAAAGTTTAAAACATGAAAAATAAACTCAGTGTGGTGGTGCACAACTATAATCCCAGCACTTGGAAGGCAAAGGCCAAGACAACAGCAAGTTCAAGGTCAGGCTGGCCTACATGGTGAGACTGTCTTAAACACACACACACACAATCACATTCACACAGATGAGCCAGACATTGATGGCACACACCTATAGTCTCAGCACTTAGGAAACAGGCAGAAAAATCAGATCCACCCAGGATCAAGCCTTGGCTACAAAGTGAGTTTAAGATCAGCTTGAGCTACTACAGACCGTATCCCAAAACAAAAACCACAAAAGAGAGTTGAGGGAAAGGAAGGGAAGGAATTCCTTCCTTCAGGAATGACTAAAGTTTGGATGACAGGTCGTGGGGGCTTCAGCTGGGAACAGGTGCATGACATACAGACATCTGAAGTGTTTCTAATCTAAGGCTACAGAGCTATAGACCTTTTCACACAAGGTATGAGGGCCCACATAGATATTACTTCCTGTTTCTAAGCTTTTCTTCTCTCCCCTCCCCCAAGACAGGGTCTCACTATGTAGCCCTGGCTGTCCTGGAACTTGGTCAATAGACCAGGCTGGCCTCAAACTCACAGAGATCTGCCTGCCTCGGCTCCCAAGTACTGGAACTAAAGGTGTTCACCACCACCTCTGACTTTCATTTCTGTATGGGGAAACACAAAGACAGAGCTCCAGAATGCTTTCAGAATCCTTGTGGTCTAAACTTTCCTCTCTGGAATGACAGAACCGGTGATCATAGTTGGCATGATGGACTGAGTAAGCTTATACTGTGTGTGTGTGTGTGTGTGTGTGTGTGTGTGTGTGTGTTACTGTACTGGGGGTTGAATCCAGGATCTCACATGGGATAGGCAAGCACTCTACCATTTAGCTACATTTCCAGCCCTTTCACTCCATTTTTATTTAAAATTTTTTATTACATCTATCATCCATCTATCTGTCTATCTATCTATCTATCTATCTATCTATCTATCTATCTATCTATCTATCTATCTCCCTGTCTCCATGTGTATTTGCAGGAATCAGTTCTTCTCTTTCCAGTCGGGCTTGGCAGCAAGTACCTTTACCTACTGAGCCATCTTGTCAGCCTTACTCTTTTAGGTTATCCACACTGGCCTTGAACTTGAAAGCCTCCAGTCTCGGCCTCCCAAGTAGCTGCGATTACAAATATATGCCATTATTCCCAGTCTGAACAGACACAGTTAATGCTAGGTGGCTTAAATGAAAAACCACAATTCTTACAGCAAAACCCTTGGAAGGCTTAGGAGAAATAAAGTCTCCAGTTGGTCCAGAAAGGTTATTCTCTAACTTAACTCCAACACATTCCATGTCTCCAGACCACGGAGTAGTCATTGAAAGAAAACAACACGTTTGTCATTAACACGGAGTTTGTTGAGTTGAGCATTATATTTTGTGCTCTGTGCTAGGCTACAAGGTGATAATACACAGTTTCTCCCCACAAATACGTTATTTTGCTACACAGAAATTAAGAGTTTGATTTCCCGTAATTTGCTCAGGAAAATGACTGAAATGTAGTTTTGTGCCAGAGGACGTAAGGAATAAGAATGTGACTGCAGTCCGTGTCCTCGAGGAGATAAACACTATTTGCAGAGCTAGATCTGAACTCAGTTGTTCATGGCTGAAAAGAAACCGGCATTACCTTAGCTATTTCATCATTGTCATCCTGAGAAAACAGCAGTAGTGGGACCAAGCTTTCCAGGACGTGCTTCTCCACACACTTCTTATCTGTGCATTTCACAGCCTTTACGGAGGCTCCAAAGAGAGTCATGGAGAAGCGATGGATGCCATGCCTCACCTAAGAATGGAGGATTCACAAGGAAAACAGCTCACTGAACATGCTCATACTAGTTTATAAGAACTCTGGGGAGTCTGGCACATCAGTCTCAACATGGAGCTATCTAGCTGCATGGAAATATCAACTATACAGGGAGATAGCAAGACCTGTGTTTGATACTCTTGTTTCTGAACTGTACAAGCAACAAATAGGTAGTTCCACCTGCTGCTGAAAATGCTTCTATTCAATCCTGGTATTAATCACACACACTTTTTTGCTAAAATTCAAAACCCTAACGAGCATATACTAAGGATGTAGGTCAATGTGGTTTATGTGTTTCTTTTAGAAAAATCTTTGTGATTTGGGACAAGGATATAAGTACAGTCCATCATTTTGACCCATTTCTTTCTCTTTTTCTCTTGTGACCCATTTCTTACTATTCCTCAGCCTACCCAACTTTTCCCCCACCCACAGAGCAAGGTAAAGCCTTGGTAAATCTGTATGTCTCAAATTTTAGGCTGTTTTGTTTTGTTCTGGAACAGGGTTTCTCTATATAGCCCTGATCATCCTGGACCAGGCTGGCCTTGAACTCTGAGATTTGCCTGCTTCTGCCTCCCGAGTACGGGTATCAAAGGCATGTGCCAACACCACCCTGCTGTATCTCAAGATTTTTTAAGTTTGAAAAACTAATAACATCAGTCCAAAAAGAGGGACATCACAGATTATCTGGAAGGGTCTTGAAGAAGAAGATCTAAAGGACCTCTATAAATGAGAAAAATTCCATTATGAGGGTAAAATAAAATGACATTATAGTCTCAAAATCTACCAGCTGATAGGTGCCCACCCACTAGGGAAGTATCTTTTCTCTCATTGTCTTACATCACCAAATAAGGAGAACAGGATCTTCATCATGGAAGCCAAGGTGGTAGAGTCTAGTGTCTTGACAAGCTGCATGAGTATCTGGATGGCCAACAAAACGATCCTCTCATCGGACTCGTGTAAGCTATCTAAGATGCACGGTACCACACTTTTGATGTCTTCTCTCTGTGTGTCCAAAAGCAGCCATGACCTCTTCTCCCATAGCACATTATCTCATTCTAAATGGAAGGATCCCACACTGACTTAAGTAACCCGGTGCTTTCTGATAACTCTGATGGCAGAGAGGGCATAAGAACTATCTCTTTACTATTGGCATGCCTGGTATATAGAGGGGAAGGAGCTGCTGTGAATTGCTTCATAAACAGAGGGGTCCAGGTAGGGAAGGGCCAGGGGTATACCCTCAGCTTTACCTTAAGGAAAAGCTTTTCCAACACAGAAAAAAAGTGGAATGGCCAGCTCAGGCCACAGTGAGCTTTCCAGCATGGAAGTTATTCAAACATAGGCTTGAAAAACTACTTGGTAGGATCAGCAGGGTTTGACTGAGGATTCTTAAAAACCCTCCCCATTCTAAACTCCTACAAGGAAGCAATCTCAGGATTTTAAAACATGTGTTTTAAAAAATATATATTCTTCCCAAGGGGAATCAACAAAGTCTAGCACATTGCTTTGAGGCAGGACCAGAGGAGTGGACGGGAAGTAGGAGGGGGGTGGGATGGGGAAGGGGGAGGAAGCGGGAAGAGAGCAGGGAGTAGGAACAGGGATTGGTATGTAAAATGAGAAAAGATAATTTTTTAGATAAATAAATTATATATGTATGTATGTATATATATACATATACACACACATACAATGCAATAAACAAATTTCATGCATCCAATTAGCCAGAGTTAGCATATACTAATATTTGTCATTTTTGTTCCATATATGTATGTATTTTTATATAAAATAAATACATCTCAGGTGGCAAAATTAAAGCCTCAGGGTTACTTCTGACTGAGGCATAGTTCTATTTCTTTCTTTTTTTGTTTTTTGTTTGTTTTTGTTTACTTTGAGACAGGGTTTCTTTGTGTAGACTTGGCTGTCCTAGAACTAGTTCTCTAGACCAGGCCTAGCCTCCAACTCACAGAGATCCTCCTGCCTCTACTTCCTGAGTGCTTTGATTAAAGTCATATGCCATCACAGCCCAGCTAAAGCATAGTTTTCTAATGAGACATGCAGAAAACTTTCATTGTGAACGACAGTGATCTTTGTCTTGATGATAAATATCCTGGAGTATCCAAGTACTCCACAAGACAGCATGGTATAAGGCATCAAGAGGCAGCTGAATATTTTCTACTGCGTTGTAACAATAAGTGCACCTCCCCCACAAAATGCACGTTTCGAAGTATTATATTTGTGACTTGGAATTTTAATGTTATTTAATTTTAATAGTTTCCACATAACTTCTAGGTATAAAATTAGAACGCTATAGATGGATGTACAGTGAGAAAGGTCTTCCCCCATTCACTCCTGCCCCAGCACTTCCAGTTCCTCCTTTCTGAGTTTCTTGGGTATCTTTGGGGTTGTTCTATTTCTGTTTCTATTTATTATTATGTATCTATTATCTATTTATCAATGGTCAAAGGTCCTTTTACCATCTCTCGGTGTCTGACAAGGTTGCGTAGTCCCCTCAGCGCAAGTATCTTGAAGAGCTTATTCTCATCATACAGCCAGGTTTTCAGGCGGACAGTGGAGTATAACCTGGGCAATCTCCTGGCCACTGGACTCCTTAGGAGCTGAAAGAAATGACCTTGGAGCTCTTTTTCCTTGCCGGGAGCCACCTTCCCGCCAACTTCAATGTATACATCATTTTCCTTTGAAATCACCAGCTGCTGCACGCAGTACAGAGTGACGCTGGGAGCAGGAACACAGGAATGCTGACAAATGGTGAGAGAGAGGATTTCCAAAAACTTGAATCTAAAGAAAGCATCTGTGTCATACACAGAATGGACCCCAGCCTGTCCCTGAGTTGAATACAGTTTAGGAAAGAGGTTCTACTGCTTTCTGGGCTTCCTGAATCTAGTACCTACAGGACTCTTACCTCCACAAAAAAGCCCGCAGATGTGAGCTTGTGTTTATCATTCCCTCGGTTAATCAAAGGGACCAACAAGTACATGGTCTTACACGCAAAGAGGTGGCTTCTTTCCAGCAAGGCACTGTAAAAGAGACCAACAGAGAACTCAGACATATGCCCACCCAGACGGCATTTCCCAGGGTCAGCCCTCCAAAGCTTTTAACCCTGCTTTAGGTATTCAGGAAGCATGCCAGGGCCAAGACTTTTAAAATTTTGTCCTGGTTAATTTATAGATACTATAGCTAGGCCTGATGGTGCACATCTTTAATCTCAACACTTGGGAGGCAGAGGAAGGAGAACTGCTGTGAATCTGAGGCCAGCCTGGTCTAGAGAGAGGAAGCGTTCCAGGCCGGGGACACAGCGAGACCCTGCTTCAAAAAAATTACAGCTATTGTATATTGTGTTACCGTTTTAGTTACTGTGGGTTTTTTTTTTTTTAAAGGAGAAAACACAACAATTCTACTTTCTGGAGAGAATGAATACATTAGAATAGAGAAGTCTTACTTGGCAAGCAGGAATACTCCCTGAAGATGGCATTCTCCCTTCAGAAGGGTCCATCCATCATTCTTTTCCATGATGCTGAATTCCTGCCAGCACAATGTTCTGAGGAGGAGAGTCTTTGTAGCTTGTATGGCGAAGCTAAGTTGAGGGGAAAAAAAGCATGGATGGAGAGAATAGGCCTGCTAGTCACTGGGATGGGCCAGTGGCTGTACTGTAATCCATCCCTTTCTAGAGTTCTTAAAGGTGCTTCATGCTCTAATATCCGGAAAGGCTTTCCATATACATTCTCAGTATAAAGAAATTTAACTTGATTTTCTTTCTCAAGGAGTTTGGCAGGAGATCCATGATTTAGAACTGATTTGGGATGCTAAATGGATATCCATTGCATTAAAAAAAGATTAATTTTCTGAGTATGAGTTAGCCTGCATTTCTGTGCACCACGTGCAGTGCACAGAAGTGCATGGAGATCAGAAGAGAAGGTGTTGATCCTCTAGAACTGGAGTTACAGACGGTTATGAGCTGTCGTATAGAAATGAACCTGGATCCTCTACAAGACCAGCAAGGGCCCTTAACCTCTAAACCATCTCTCCAGCCTAATCCATTGATTTAAAAAAAAATTTTGAGGTAAAATTAAGACTAGGTATTTTGCTCAGTTTGTAGAACATCTGCCTAGCATGCTCTAAGCTCTGGTTTGATCACCATCACTACAGAAACCAGACATGGTGGGACATGCCTGGACCTCCAGCATTTAGGAGCTAGGAATCAGTAGTTCAAGGTCAACCTAAACTACAAAGTGAGTTTGAGACTGACTTGCAGGACACGAGGCTGAGATTCAAAAAGAGAAAGGAAAAAGATGCAATTTACACTTCCCCATAAAATTTACCAGCGCAACTTACAAAGTACTTCTTGAGAAGCTCTTCCAGACACAGCTTCAAGAGCATGGTAGAGCTGGAAAGGTTCCCGGAGATAGCCCGCTCCAGTCTCCTCAGTTACAGAATAGGAAACCAAGGCACAGAACCGTGCATTGGTCCAGGGCGGCAGCTCATTAAACAGGTGCATGAGAACTACACCTGGGACAAACTGACACTTAGCCTGGCCCTAAAATCCCATGGGATGGTATTTCCTCCCTAAAGATCTGTGTGTCAGCAGCGCTAGAAATGTCTACCAAGACCTTACTTGGAAAACCTCTCCAAGCAATATCCCAGAAATAAGGAATTGTTTCACTGGATCAATCCAGTTTGGGAGGCTGGTTTACTGGTTTTGTCTCTACTTGCTCTGTCAAGGAAGGGACAGCACAATATCACATATTATCTGCCAGACACCTAGATAGTGAAACACTGGTACCAAGAAAACTAAAAGCAGCAAATAAAAGCCAGAGGGATCCTCAGCATTTTACTGTAAGGATTGTGGACCAGTGTTCACGCACGGTTAGGACCACATCTATCCTTGAATCTACTCCAGTGCCCAGGACTCTGTAAGTGTTCAGATCAATGAAATCACAATGAGCAATACCACAAAGGTGTGACCTCCGTTGGTATTTCCTGTCCTGCGTACAGGCCACTTGGGATGCTGACATCAGACATGGTGAGGCCGACGCTGTGGTGAATCTGGATGAGCAGAGTCATCAAAAGCTGAGGAAAGAGTCGAAATGCAGCTTCTCGCAGCTTGTTTCCCATAAGCACCTCATAAAGGGCATCTGTTGCCTGTGGTAGAAAAGGCACGGGGAAGAACTGAGAGCCTGTTGGTTCTACCGCTCTGTGTCATGACTAGTCCACAGACAGAACGGCAATGGTAATTGTATGAAAGGGAGAACAGGAGTAAAGGGGCCATTGGAAGTGAGCTGGGGCATGCTCAGAGTGGAGTACATACTTAGCAAGTGGTAGACCCTTGCTTCAATCCCTAGCACCACACACATATTATACATAGTCACGCATACACATACACACACAGAGAGGGGGGGGTATGTGTGTGTGTGTCCAGTGAGCAGACCTGGCATCCAAAAATAATAACTGGAAGCTATTAGTACACTTTATTAGATACAACTAAAAACAATAAAACAAAACTACAATACAATCTGTCATATTAGATAACAAATAACAATTCAGAAAAGTATCTATTTTTGTATTAATGTGTTAATAAAATGTTCTCATCCTTCAGTAAAACAAATGTAAAGTCCTGCTGCTCGAGGTGCGCCCACTGCAATGCTGCAAATCTGGTTGAAAATGAGAACATGAAGTCCTTCCCATACCTCCTATATCACAATCTGCTTTGTGTGACTGAAATATACATGTATTTGCCCTAACTTCTAAAACTACACTAACATAACATTTTAGATTTTTTTTAAGACAGGGTTTCTCTGTGTAACTGGCTGTCCTGGAACTCACTCTGTAGACCAGGCTGGCCTCGAATTTATATAGATCTGCCTGCCTCTGCCTCCTGAATGCTGGGATTAAAGGCGTGCAACATCACAGCCCACTTAATTTTTTAATTTTTAAAAAGCACACATTCATAAAAAAAAGAGAATAAAAGACAATAGCAAATTAGAAATACTGAAAGAAATTTGGAAGCTTAAAATACTATGACAGTAGCTTGGACTAGACAAAGAAGAACCTAAAAGTAGGAGGGGTGGGGATGAGGAGAGAAGCAGAGCCTCCAGAAGGCCAGGTGGGAAAGGAATCCCAGCACTTTGGGGAGCCAAAGTAGGTTCAAAGTCATCCTTCATTATATCACTAGTTCAAGGTCAGCCTGAACCTACCTGAGATGCTGTCTCAAAAACTAAAAGCATATGTACCAATAGGAAGCAGTCTCTGCATGGCCAAGGCCAAAGGTCTGCAGCAGCCCTCTGTACTGTCTGGATAGTCTGGCAGTGAGCATAAGGCTGCTTTAAAAGTGCTGTTTTCAGGGGCTGGAGAGGTGGCTCAGAGGTTAAGAGCAATGGCTTCTCTTTCAGAGGATCTGGGTTTAATTCCCAGCACCCACATGGCAGCTCACAACTGTCTGTAACTCCAGTCCCAGGGACACCTTTACACCAACTCACATGAAATAAAGTTAAATAAAATTTTTTTTTTAAAAAGTGCTGTTTTCAAAGGAAAATTGGGTGGGAAAACATCAAATACACATGCACAGGTATTTCTAGAAATTTTATTAGGGAGATGAAACAAATTATGAGCTAAGAATGGCTTTCTTTCTCTATTTCTTCCTTTCTTTTTTGTCTGTATAAGTGTTAGGTTTTGTTGTTTTTCCTTTTGAAAAAATTTTTGCCTAGACTCTAGAGCTCAAATGATGTTCCTACCTCAGCCTTCTGAGTAGCTGGGATGACAGGCACACAACATTGTCTTGGGTTTAGATTTTTTTTTTTAAATCCAAAGATTGTGTGGCAAAGACTATGTATGACCCGTAAGTCCTAAAATATATATTGCTTACAAGACCTGAGACATTCTTTAGATAGAAAGCTTTCTAAACCTTAATTACAAGACCTGAGACATTCTTTAGATAGAAAGCTTTCTAAACCTTAATTAAAGGGCCACTGTTTTCTACCTTATATATTATTATATTTTTAAACTTTTTTCACAAGTTTGGGTTACTTTAGGTAGTTTTTAAGGCTAGAAGTAGGAATGGTCACACTGTATCACACTGTCACACGCTCCAGCTCTTTCCAGGTAAGAGTCAATGAAAGATTTCATGGATTTATAGATGAGTACTAGAAACAAACTAAAAAGAGAACAAAAAGATGGCCCTCCGGATGAGGGAGTCCTCCTCGGGGAGCATTCTGAGCTGACATAGGGGCAGAGCAATGGCTTACAGCAACAGCCACATAGGCCATCTTCTCGTGGGTGGTCACATCATGGCATTTCTGCAGCTTTCTCATGAGCCTCCAGAGGACCCAGGTCGTTTTAGACAGTTCTATGTTCAGGGTTCTCCACAATTCAGCCAGGTGCCTAGAAATCCCAGAATAGCAAGCATCATGAGAAGGGCTTATCCCAGGCCTCCCAGGATGGCAACTTTCTTAGAGTCATTTTGGAATTCAGTCTTCCTGTGAGAGGCGTTCCTCTGCTCGGTTCTTCAGGTATCAATACATACTGCCTGACAGTGTAGCAGTAGCTGAGCTTTCACTGCCTGCCTTGACCTACAGCCATTCCTAAGCTAGTCTAAAGCATATCAGAACCTCTGCTTTTGTATTACACGATGTGGTGGTCTGAAAGAAAATGGCCCCCAAAGGGAGTGGCTCTATTAGGAGTTGTGGCCCTGTTGGAGGAAGTATATCACTGTAGGGGTGGGCTTTGTGGCCTCCTTTCTCAAGTTTCACTTAGTGTGACATCAGTCAACTTCCTGTTGATTGCAAGACGTAGGCAGCACCACCATGTCTGCCTGCACTCTGCCATGCGCCCCCCTTCATGATCGTGATGGAATGAACCTCTGAAACTGAAAATGAGCCACCATCAATTAAATGTTTTCTTTATAAGAGTTGCCATGGTCATGGTGTCTCTTCACAACAATAAAATCTTAATTAAGACACATAATCATACAAAAGCCAGGTGGTGGTGGTGCACATCTTTAATCCCAGCACTTGGGAGGCAGAGGCAAGCAGATCTCTTGTGAGTTCAAGGCTGGCCTAGGCTACAGATAGTTCCAGGACAGGCTCCAAAACTACACAGAGAAATCTTGTCTCAAAAAACCAAAACAAAACAAAAGAATACAAAAAGACCCACAGTCACACGCTAGCACTTTTTACGATTCACCTTTGCCAAATGAACCACAGACTGATTACCCTAGAGGTCCACACCATTTTCTGAAGTCAGAGCCTTTTCCCCAGCCTTCTCTTGCCTGTCACCTCCCCTCAAGAGAAGATCCAGAGACATCTCTTCTGCCAAGTTTCCTGATGCTTCTCAGCAGAGTTCCTATAACATTTACATTTCTTCTTGAGACAGGTTTCCTCAGTATCCCACACTGGTCAGTGCTCTGTGCATGCTCCTCTGAAGGAAGGGATCATATCTGGAGGCCTCAGAGCTTGGCACAATGCCAGGTCCACAGAACACATTCAAAGATACATAGTCTATGGTCCTCATGTGTGAAGAAGGTCAACACCTAAAAATTAACCTCTGATCCTACTTATATCTTAAAAAAATATGTAGCAATTTCTCAAAAATACTATAAATTTGACATTACAGCTAAGGCCAGCCTAAGAAAAATATTAAATTTTAGTCTCAAAACAAAGCTCCCGTCTTCCCAAATCACTCTGAACACTGAGACTCTCAGACACGATCCCAACAATCATTCTCTGCTTTAGTAATACTGCCTTTTTGTTGTTCTTGTTTCACTCTGTAGCTAAGACTGTCCTGAAAGGAACTAGGTAGACTAGGCTGGCCTCCAACTTTTGGTAATCCTCCTGACTCAGCCTCCTGAGTGCTGGGACTACAGGTATGAGCCATCACACCAGCCTCTAATTTAGTAATTCAAATCTGAGAATAAAAAAAGCAAGATGATCCCAAGCAAGCCTGAAGAGAAGGAGGCTTGAAAGGCACATGGTACTCTGTAAAAAGTTCACGGCAGAGAGCGGAATCAGGTGACGGGGTGAACAAGCGCCAGGAAGGATGTTAGCCGTTCCTTGGTTTGCTGTGAACCTGAGACAATGCCTGAGAGACTCTAACTGGAATGCTCAGTTTGCTGCACACTCTAAGTGTGCTTGGGATTGGAAAGCACACAGTCAGTGACGCTCAGATTTTGGTAGGAAGCAAATCATCTACAGAGTTTGTTTAAACGCTGTGTTGATGACATGGTGCGGCAGGCGAAAGCACCGCGGCCAAGCATGACCACCAAAGTTTGAACTCCAGGACCCACGTAGCGGATGAAGAAGACTAACTCCCACACACTGTAGTCTAACCTCCACTACAGCCATGACTAGCTTCCACCCACCTGAGCACACACACTCACACACACAATAATAAAACGTGTGTGTGTGTGTGTGTGTGTGTGTGTGTGTGTGTGAGAGAGAGAGAGAGAGAGAGAGAGAGAGAGAGAGAGAGAGAGCACGTGTGGTAGTACACACCTTTAATCCCAGTGCTGAGGAGATAAAGGCGGGTGGATTAAAGGCTAGCCTGACCTACATAGTAAGATTTGGAACAACCAATGCTTTATAATGAGACCCTGTCTTATAAAACTAAAATAAATAAATGAAATAAAAATATACAAGAAGTTCAGGAGATGTGAGGCAGAAAGCCCAAGAAATCAGGGCAGCTTTTCAGTGGTTCTCATCCTGTGGGTCACAACTCTTTGGGGATTTGACCCTTTCACAGGTGTTGCCTAAGACCATAGGAAAACACAGAGATTTACATTATGAGTCATAGCAGTAGCAAAATTAAAGTTATGAAGTATCAATGAAAATAATTTTATGTTTGGGGGGTTACCACAACATGAGGAATTATATTCAAGAGCATTAGGAAGGTTAAGAATCACTACTTTTAGATATGGGACCCAGCTGGCAGAAAGTAGGTGACAAGCCAGATGGTGATATTGTTTGCCTTTAATTCCGGCACTCAGGAGGCGGAGGCAGGCAGATCTCTGGGAGTTCAAGGCCAGCCTGATCTACAAATAGAGATCCAGGACAGTGAAGGCTACACAGAGAAACCCTGTCTCAAAAAGAACAAAAAAAGAAAAGGAAAACAAAGAAAGTAGGTCACTAGTGGACGGGCTTTGAAGTTATGTCCACCCTGATTCTGGCCTTGCTCTGTTTCCTGGTTCTCCACAGTGTGAACAACTGCTCCACTTACCTTTCTTGTTACCACACACTGAGCCACTCTGCTGTGTGTTTTAACAAAGCAATAAGAAATGCTATGAATAAAGCTACCAACTTTGCAACTAGTATGCCAGTCCACCAAAGGGAAGAGATGGAAGGCGCTCTAAGAAAACAAAGGACGCACCTCGAGAGACTTTCAAGCACCTCAGGCCTATGATTCCTTATGCGTGTTTGAGCACCATCTCTGCCACTTCCAACTAGAATCTTGACTAACCTATATGTGGGGGCTTGGAAGAGACCTGGCTTCATGGGAGGATCTGATGCATTAGTTCTCACAATGCTTACTTACTGTTCTAGAAGACTGGAGGAGGCATCCCTTGAAACACATACTATCTCCCTTGTGAACAGAAAGAAACAGCCTGACTGCTCTTGTGACATGCCGGGACAGAATTCCAGATAAGTCAGGACACTGTCACACATATGCTCTGAGATGTCTTTTCCTGGACCCTCGGTAATGAGTTGAGTTTCCCAAAGCATCTCACCTCCCACACAGCCTGGCGGCAGTGCAAAGCAATTCCTCTCAGTAGATGATGTGGTCAACCTGGCCTCTCAAGCTCCAATCCCAGCTTAGCCAGCGTGCCTTCTGCCTTACTGATCCTCTTCCCATTTGCGGGGCCTGTCCAGAGATGCTTTGGCTTTTCAGTCCCTCTCTTCTCTGCCTTTGAGGACACGTGGGCCTCACCTTTTCTTGCCTGCCTCCCCTGCCTTCTATAGCACTGCACAACCTGTAACCCATCTGCACCAGAGACACAGGCAAAAGGTGCATCTCAAGTCATTCACATCTTCAATGACATTTTTTTCTTTTCTTTTCTTTTTCCTTCCTTCCTTCCTTCCTTCCTTCCTTCCTTCCTTCCTTCCTTCCTTCCTTCCTTCCTTCCTTTCTTTCTTTCTTTCTTTCTTTCTTTCTTTCTTTCTTTCTTTCTTTCTTTCTTTCTTGGATAGGGTCTTACTATGTAGCCCAGGCTGGCCTGGAACCTGCTATGTAGGCCAGCTGGTCTGGTCTTGAACTCACAGAGATCTGCCTGTGACGGTACCATGAAGTTCTTCAGTGGCTCCTGCTGAGGTATAAAGTCCACTATCTTACCCAATATATCGCTGTTTTCTGACTTTTGATCATTTAAAACCTGTTTTAGTGTGGTATACCTGTGCCACTATCAAGACAACGCAATATTAGAACTTTAGTTCATCTATACAGAAAGGGCCTTTAATCTGAGCACTTCCCACTGCTCACCTGTCTGTTCAGTCTTCCTGAGAGACATTTCATATAAAACTCTAGTACATTTAAGCCATGGGACGGATCAATGACTTAAGAGCAATTGATTAGAGAAATATACAAAAGAATCTTTAAAAGTCCATATTACCTTCCATGTTAATGTATTTATTTTCTCCAGATGGGCAAGAGTCCTACCATCTGACCTAGTGGTAGAAGGTCTGGTTCAGCACGGAGAACCCAGCGCTACATTAAGGCATTAGTGAGGGTCATTCATACAAAGGAGCAGTTTTCAAACAGGTTAGAGCAGAAAAAGGTTTTTTTTTAAATAAAGCAGTTGTTCTGAATCACAATATAGGAATCAGATTTTCAAAGGGAATGCTGCTCCAGATTAAGGGGTTGGGGGGTCTCTCCTCAAGTGTCACTGACTTCCCCATATGTACCTCCTAGACTCTAAGACTTAGAGCTACCACTGTGAAAAAACTCAGCTAAAACAAACAAACAAACAAACCAAAAAACCCAAAACTTCTCTGTAGGACCTTATTCTTTCCTATGTATATACTTAGATTTTCTCTTATATGGTACATGTATTTATTTGGGGCAAAGCCATTCTTAAATGCATTATGCAAGTGAGATGCTAACATTATGGATTTCACCCCTAAATAACTTTAGTACCTGTCTATCTGTATCTATTTATTTAGACAGGGTCTTACTATATAGGCCACACTGACCTTGAACTCTCCATCCTCCTGTCTCAGCCTCCCAAGTTTTGGGATTACCAGCATTCTTTAATGTCTATCCTCTCACCACTAGGTTGTCCTTCTGCATAAACAGTATCACTTTACACATAGGCAAATCATATTAACTCAAGAATCTAATAGAGCCAGGTGTGGTGGCACATGCCTATAAACCTAGCACTTGTATGAGTTTTAGATTGGCCTTGTCTACATAATGAACTCCAGGCTAGCCAGGTATACATAGTAAAACACTATCTCAACCATCACCACCTTCTAAAAAATCTGGTACAAATGCAATTTTCAATTACAGCTTTTGTTTTGATCCAAGATCCAGTTAAGGTCTTATATTGTCCTGGGTTGTACTCCTTCGTTGCTCTATCACCAATTGGTTTCTTTCTCTCTCTTTTTTTCATTATTTTAACTTTTTTGAAGAATCTAGTCCATTTGCCTTTTATAACATTTTTCTTAGGGACCAATCTGTATCTTACCTCCTCTACAGGAGTCTTATTAGGAACCACATTTCACCGTACTCAGAGATGGTTGTGGACCAATTTAACACAGAAGCTGCACAAGGTTCTATTACCTGTCATATGGCACTGGATGACATAAGAGATGGCTGAGCACTGTATCTGTATACTTAGGTCTGGAGATAAACAAACTCACAGTATTTACGATATTTTGCCGGACACTAGGCAAGGTGATTACTGATAGCTGGGCACAGATAACACCTATTATTTCTGGTACCTGAAGAGGAAAAAGACATCACTAAGACCTTGATCCTGTAGGACAGTTGAGAGTCTTTATAGCCATTCTAAGAGGTCCTGGGGAGATAGAAGACAAAATATTTTTGATTTTGTAAAGCTTAGGATGCTAAGGGTTTGATTCACTGCTAAAGCACTGCCCTAGAATATATGAGGGAGGACTGGGATTTGGTCCTCAGCATTGTGGAAATAATAATACAACTTTCCAATCATCTTCTAGCAGTGGTAGCTCACGGCTTTAATTCTAGCTAGCACTTGGGAAGCATAGGCAGGTGAATTTCTATGAGTTTGAGGCCAGCCTAGTCTACACAGTGAATACAGGGACAGCCAGGGCTATGTAGAGAGACCCTGTCTGAAAAAATGTATATATGAATGTATGTATACAAAAATATTTGGAAGTTGCAGAGTGCTTGCCTAGCATAGATGAGGACCTGGATTTGATATCTGATTCTCAACAGACAGGGGTGGGGGTGGAAAGAATAAAAGGAAAGAAGTGCTGGAGCGCTGGGTGTGGCTTGGGGGTAGAATGCTTGTTCGACACACACAAGATGCTTGCTTCAATCCAGCACCACAGAAAGAAAAAGGAAAAAAGGGCAAGAAAAGAAACAAGGAAGGAAATAAAAGATTTGTGAGCTGACATAGATGTCACCTGTACCCTTGAGAAACGGAGAAGTGGGTTTTTTTTTTCTCATGTATTTTTTTCTGATTTTCGATCAATGATTACATAGTGATTTTATAACAGAAATGTCATGTTATAGCAAGGGAGCCAGCCCTTACCCACTGTCCTCTCTGCTCTTTCAGAAAGTAGAAGCCAAGGCTTTGGTCCAGTTCTCCCGCTGCTTGACCATGGCATAAAATGGCTATTATTACCACCAGGTGCCAGAAGCTGGTTGAAGTGTGGGCAGAGGAGGCAATTCTAGCCATAGAAACAAGAGGAAGAGCAGGGTGGTGGTGGCACACTCCTTTCATCTCTGCATTGTGGAGACAGAGGCAGGCAGATCTCTGAATTCGAGGCCAGCATGGTCTACATAATGAGTTCTAGAACAATGAGGGCTACAGAGAGACACCCTGTCTTGGGGGAAAACAAACAAACAAATAAACAAAAAGAAAGAGATATGAGGAAGAATCTACTGGGGGTTTGAGGAAAAGTTTTTCTGCCTTCAATAAAGGGACAAAAAGGAAGGCATCATCTCTCTGGATTGTCTTTATCTGTCTTCTCATGAAGTCTCAGCTAAGCCGGCCACATGGACAGGAAAGGCAAAAAGATGGGACCCTTGATCTTGGCTGTCACTGCAAGTCAGTGAGCTCAGCATAAAAAATATACAGTGTCCAGATTTTCTATACATATTTAAGACTGTATATTTATTGTAATCATTTAATACAGTAAATCACTTCTTTATAGTAAAATATGTCAGATAAACATTTAAACAAATATATCATCAAGACATAAGGTAATCAATTGTTTGGAAAAGCTTCTCACAGTTGGCCTTTCTGGCCACTAAAGGCTCCTGAACCGTCCAAGAGCCATCTGACTTCTCTGATGTGTTCCTGCTGTATCTTTGGAATTTTCTTTTTTATGATTCTTTTATTTTTATGTGCATTGGTATTGTTTGTGTGAAGGTGTCAGATCCCCTGGAACTGGAGTTACAGACAGTTATGAGCTGTCATGTGAGGTACAGGGAATTGAACCCTGTACTCTTAATCACTGAGCCATCTCTATAGACCCCACTATTTTTGCTATTTTATAGGTTAAATAAAATGGGTTCTTATTCTTTAAAAATGCCCTTTCTTTCTGAGATTGTTGAGGTGTTGTGGGTTGAACGCGGGAACGCAGGACTGTGCATGGATGAGCACCCTTCACAGAGCACCTTCATTCCAGAAACACACAATGAGCACTTCAAATGCCAGCGGCTCCTACACTTAGCTTTTCTGTACTCTTTCTATGTCTAATTAAGATAGTCAATTAATTAATTTTTTTTTTTTTTGGTTTTTCGAGACAGGGTTTCTCTGTGGCTTTGGAGCCTGTCCTGGAACTAGCTCTGTAGACCAGGCTGGTCTCAAACTCACAGGGATCCGCCTGCCTCTGCCTCCCGAGTGCTGGGATTAAAG